GCTCGTGCATGAGAACATACACATGTTCGAACCCCAGCCAACAACGACGCGGGTCGGGCAAGGGCGGGCCACGAAGCCTGCCGTTTCACTCCTTTCCACCCGGAAGGACATGACCCACTGAAGACTCCACTGAGGTCAATGCAGAGTCCTCGTCTGGACCGCCAGATGGAACGTCGCGGTGGTACCGTGGTGGCCCGGGAAAAGAAAAGAGACAGGACAGTCATGGTGTCATCGGCCAGTGCTTGGTTGGGAACCATTCGCTCCAGTGACCCGAAATTGGCTTCCCTTTGCTGCTCGCCTCAAGAGGAACTCCGGTTGGTTTGGGCATTCGAGTCTCAACCTTGGGGGCCTTCTCTAGACCACTTTAAGTCCTTAAAACGGTCTCGTCAACAAGTTTTGCCTTTAAACGGTCTTCGTAGGCAATTTCAAAGCAGCTTTCTGTAGTCAGTGTGCGTTTTAAAGCGCTTCCTTTTTTGATTTGCCTTTAAAAGCGGTTGTTCATGGTTGTTCTTTTTTTCTGTAGGCAATTTTGCCTTTAAGTGCCCATTGAATCATTGAACATGTTTCTTCAACATTTGGGCTGGGGAAAGTTTGCTCGATTCTTTATGTTGCCCCAGAAAGCATCCTTCTCCGCAAGTAAGAAAGATTGTTGGGGACACAAGGTAGCTTTCTTGTGGCACATACCTGTAAACCTACCAGTGTATTGTCATGTGGAAACCTCTTATGCATTTTAAACGCAGTTTGGCAATAACCTTTGAACAATTGGGTTTGGGTCCAACATACCTAAAATTGCAACCTTATCAAGTTGTCTTAATTAGACAATTTTAAATCGTTAGCAGACTTGGGCAAGGCCTAAAAGAGATAAGCATTCCCTAACCTCCTCCCCCCTCAAACCACCCGTGCTGCCCAGTGCCCTTACGCCTCTGCCGCACCCCAGTCTGGGACAACGAAGCCGGTCGCGGGCGAAGGCGGGCGGTCAGTGGTTTGGAGTTGAAAGCTGACAAGGGTCGTGGCAGAAAGAAAAGAGGGGGCCAAGTGGTGAAGGTCAGCAGTTGTTTTTTTTCCGCATCGTTGTTCAACCTGTCTGAGAACTTAGAGGGCCAAACAAACCTGTTTGTATCGTGGTTCAACCTGTTTGAGAACTTAGATGAAGGTGGATGACTTTTTTTTTGGACTTTCCTCTGCATCTTCTGAGAACCTTGGCATTTTCTGCGCTGATGACCTTCGCCATGTCTGCCAGGTCACCTAGAGGGCGTCAGGAGCTTTGGGGTGACGCGGTGCATGGCCTGCCAGATATATATGTTGGTTGAAAAGATGAGTTCATTCCCTTGCAGAGTTGTGAAACATCTCCACTTAAAATCATTTGAGAACGGTTTACTCATCAACAGGTTAACCGTGCGTAGCTGCTTTTTGATCATTCTTTGCAGTTAATGACTGTTTATCTCTGTAAGGGTCTTTGACATGAATTTACAATCGAACAGGCACAAAACACTGGTCGAGCACAACGAGGGACTCTGGGAGTGGGTCGTCTTCAGTGCCTGCCAAACACCAGGCGAATAGACCCTGAAACGGCGTTCTTGGTCCTTTCGTTTGCTTTAGACCTAAACCTACAAGTCCAAAGACCCAATAAGACTTATTTTTACCTCCTGAAATAGGGTTTTGGTATGACCATGTCCAGTAAAATGAGGTCGTTGACCTGTAGGGTAATTTATATATTTTTCGCCGTGGTCGTTTCAGCATGTCCAGGACTATGGCGGTGCAGAGGCCAAGACCAAGAAGCTCTTCAAACAGAAAGCACCCAGGCGATTTCGGCGACGGCTCCAACCTAACTCCTCCTGCCCATGACCCCTGAAATCTTTCATTTAATGTGATGTCGGTGTGTACAAACCCAGACGCGACCCTGTCTGGGACTGCCAGTCCGGACTGCCGATCAGGCCAGGGGGTGGGTGGTCGACTGGGGCGATCAATGGGGTGGCATATATTCCAGTCCCACCAGTCCCATGGAGTTTATGGGAAATGTTCCAAACCCAATCTCGTTGGCGTGTGAGTTTCAATCCACGTGTCCGTGGTCGACTCCACCTATCTAACTCCTGTACACATGTTACAACTGATACATGATGTCGGTGTGTGCACATGCTACAAATCCAAATTGGTTGGTATTGGAGTTTTTACCACATTGTTGTGATAGCTATGGGGTTCTTAGATGAGTGGCTGTGTGTGCTGGGGACAGGGTGTTGGAGCGGGTGCTGTTCTGGGTCCTTATTTTGTTTGCAGTTTGTTTGCATACCAGCGACATGTTTCGCGAAAGAAAGTGGTGACCTGCTGCCAACGATTGCCAACGGTTCTTTTTTCTTTCCGCCACCATGTTCGAGACGTTCCTCCCCAAGAACTGAACCAAAGCACCTTGTTGGAAAGCCTGAGCCCCTTTCTTGGCATGTTGAATTCGACCTTTTGGGTCCGGTGTCATTCTCTATCACCCCGTTCGCTTCACATCCGAAGTCGCCGACGGAAACCGCCGTGGATACCGCCGGACCCGGTCGCAGGGTGCTGCCCAGCCTGAGTGATGCGCAGACCTTGGTCTTCGCCCTCACGGCCCGGAGAAACCGCGGAGAAAGCACGGAGAGTTCGCGTGGTTCGGGGACGGTGACCGGGATGAAGACGGTGACCGAGGTCTTAGGACGGAGATACGGGGTGTTCGACTGGGTCGGGGATCTTTTCATGCATCTCTCGGAGTCTGTGTACGAAACGGCCGTCAGCAAGCTGCAACCGTCCTCCGAAAAACCGAGACCAAGACCGCACCTTTTTCAGGCAAGAAGATTCGGTCGCTTGCATGACCCGGGACCATTCAGGATGTCTTATATATACTATACTTGCAGTATAGTTTTGGTGTGTCAGGTGGCAGGCAGATTCTCTTTCCTCAACCCCGCGACGCGTGCCGCGATGCCGTCGCAAGAAGCCGACCGACCCTTTCCACCCACGCATGGCAAGACACGCCTTCCTGGCAGGTCGTCTACCTGTTTACCGTGAACCTCTTCTACTTGGCCTTCTTCCGCCATCCGAAGGCACGGCAGGAGTCCAGAACAGCCTTTGTGGGTGGATCTGGTCGATGCCGAAGACCCGAAGACGTGCTGCGGGGTGTTGCGTTTATCATCCGCCGTTGTCCCGCGCGGATGATGTCATGATCCCATCATCCAGGAGAACTCCCATCGCCGGGATGACGGCTTCAGCCTCACTTTCTTCATCTTTCTTCCCCACCAAGAAAAGGCGATCCATATGATCCACATGACCCGAACCAATTGCTACACAGCTTCGGTCCAAAAACCCATGGAGTCCATCATGTCCAACATGGCGAGGCTGTGCTGCTGATGTGCGCCGCGCCACTGGTGGCCGTGCCGGCCATGTGGGCGCGGCGGTCACGCAGCCTGGGGCACCCAGGGCACGGCGCGGCTTCGGGAGCTTTGGGAGCTGGAGCGTTCGGCAGTTCTCAGATGGTCCGTGCTGCTTCCTTGACGGTCTTTTGGAATCACAGCGGGTCCATTGGTGGGGAAATCCATGGCTCCCTCATGGTTTTTCATGGTTTTTCCAAGATTTATTCAGTTGGTTCAGATTCTGTGGGGATCAAACTGATTAAACCACCGTTTTTGTTATATATCCCCTGCGAAGAAGAATGTCACGGAAGGCACCCTGATGACTCTGGAGTCGGACCTAGGACCTGTAGCAGTTGCACGTCAGGATGGGAGGATGACCAGCTGGACTGCCAACAGGTCTCGAAGTCCTAGAGGGAAGCAAGTTGCAGGTTTGTAACCCTTGCATTCGGTGACTAGATTGTCTGGAAATAGGCGTGCTTCATGGGAATCTGTCTAAAAACCGGGTATATACACTTAATGTTATAGACAGATGCATGGACGGATAGGTACAGACAGACTATCGCTCGAATAGATATACGGTTTCTTCTTTTATGTGTCATCCTTCTTGCGGAGGTGCCCTGAAGCGTCACGCTCCGAAACGAACATACGCGCCCCTTATAGCGTCAAAAAGGGATTGCTTGGGGCCCAGATCTGGACCTGGGAATTCTTGGAGCCCGCGATTTCCACCAAAATCGAAAAGGAACTAACATTGTCATAAGGGTCAGGAAAAACCACACACAAACACATTCTCTTCTTCCAATCCCAGCATCTCAACGTCTCCTCAGGCACCTTCAACCTCTCCTTGGGCGCTGCGGTACTGTGTGGCTTGCTGCTGGGGGTGCTTGCAGGTCTCTACTGCCTGGGCACTCAGTCTGTGCGGATGCGTCCCTTCGAGGTCGTGGTCGACCGCGTTCCGAGCGGAAGAGTCGGACGTCGACTCGACCAGTCCATCAGTCTACCAGGGCCAGGGGCGCTTTCCGAAAAATACAGAATACAGATCAAATACAGACTCAAGATCAAATACAGATACTACGAAGGACTCAAGATCAAATACTAGACTCACTGTGAGAAGGGATGCCCGTCCTGTTCGTCCTGTTCGTCGGATCCCCGTCCTCGCGATCCGAACTCACAGCCGTTTTCGTGACCCTCGCGATGCGCGTCGAATCGGAGTGATTCTCCAGATCGAGGGACTTGGTTCCCAAGCCTCTTTTCCGGAACCCCAAGCAGAGCAGGCTCTAAGGGAGCAGAGAAGCTGGGGATTCAGCTTTTGTTCTGCAAGGAACACGTGGGTGTAAGTCAAGACATGTCAAGACTCACCAAAAACCATATATCTACAATAAGGTGAACCACGCTTGTTATATCTCAAACACGTCATGATTGATACGCCTAAGTAAATCTTCCCATGCCATTCCCATGTGTCTCCATGGTGTGAAGTCAAGCATAAAGGCTACTTACAATGTACCTCATATACCGTATAATACCGTATAGCTGTCTCTTTTTGTCAGTTGATGTCAAGGGAGTTGACCTCACTGGTGCTCAATCCCTTTTTGGTTGCTGAGCACCTGACATTGCGCGTTGCCACCAGACATCGCCATGGCCGGCATGGGCTACGGTGCCACGCTTGTCGCATGTCGTGGGGAAGAACGGCTCGTTGAGACCTGGAATTATTTTGAGTGAAACGACTTCACACCGAAGCTGATTTGGTTCAACTGGACCGCAGAACACTCATCCAATCTATCCAAAGTACTTGTTTTTGTTTATTTCTGTAAATGAAAATCATTATATGTCTAAAGATAAAACGTTTATGATGATTATGATGATGTTTTGCTTAAGAAATAGTGGCCTTCAGAAAATTGGCCCCATCTGGCCCCCAAGACTATCCGAAACGTTCCAAAATCCAGTTCTGCACATGCCTGTTCAACGGACCGTACTCATGCGTTGGTGCCAGCCAACGAGGTCTTTTCCAATGTTTTTTTCATGATACAATTCAATTTACCTAGCACTTCCAATGGGTGCCCTGTCTGGAGACCTAGGCCGGTAGGGTAGGGTTGTCCAGCCAGGTGACCCGTTGGTTTCGCACCTGGCATCAATTTGTGTCCGCATTGGTTTCAGCCTTTTTCTTTCGCACCTGGTAAGCTGTTTGGACTGCAGTTCTGACTGCGCAGTCCATTGGTTTCCTATTTTTGACACGGCCTCTCGCTTGATCGTCCTGCTGTGCCGTCTGAAGGACGACCAGTTCTAGTCGGGTGTGGTGGGAGAAACACCAAGGAAGCCCCTCTATAGCTGGTTTACAACCAGGTATAGTATCCCTTAAACCAGAAAATCACCAGGGTTATAACTAGAAAAAAAAAACAGGGTTAGGTTAAGGGTTGGGGTTAAGGACAGGTGCAGTGAATATTCATAACCCTTAACCCTAGGAATCGAGGACCCTCAAAGGTGAAGTTTTTGAGGGTCCAAAGCCCTGCGTTCCGCAGGGCCAAAACCCTCCAGAAGCGAGACCCGGTCTTGATCACTTTCCCGTGACAAAGGTCTACGAAGGGTCTCCCTACACATCCATTTGGAGATGTTGCTGAGGGAACATACGAAAACCACATAAAACCTGAAGCGTCTACTCAGGTTGCCCACCAGGTTCAAACCATGTTGGATCCTATGTTGGATCTGTCTAAGGAGATCGATGTGGTTGGCTTGGATGGCAGCAGCTTCCGGCTCGGTCCCGTCTCTGAGTCTCTCACCGGTGCTCAACTCTTGCAACGGATCGCACAGCTGGTGCCGAAGGTGGCTGGGAGAGTGCGGGTGCAGAACGGCTCGGAAGCGCTTTCACTGCAAAAGACTCTAAAGGAACAAGATCTGGTTGGGGAATCACCTTGTGCCTGGTCTGCAGTCGAAGCTGTTTGTCGCTGTCGCAGTCGCACCAGACTTATAGTCCCGGCCGAAACCATACCCTCAGGTTCGGTGGTTAGACCCCACAACGCACCCCAACCACCTTCGAAACGGAGGTGGGCCAGGAGCATTAGGGTAATAGTCCCGGCCGAAACCTGGACCATTCGTGCGAACCCGAACAGGGCGAGACTTTTTTGGCGCTCGATGACTTCAGCCACTGCCCCTGTGCACCGAGGCTTCAGGTCCTGGAGACTTGGTTCGCCAGTTCCATTTCGCTTGGCACATGAGGCACGTAGGGCAGATATCTACATAACTCCATCCTCCAAGCATTTGCCAATCATATACTAAGGTGTGTCCTACATCTATGAACCATCCAGCTTACAGGATGCCTGGAACCTGCTACAAGGCTTGCCAGCCGATGATCCAGCTCTCCGGGCACTGGAAGGTAGGGCAGAAGCAGATGACGTCGTCACACTTCCGGCGCGAAGACCACGAATTCGATGCATTCCCCATGTTCCATGTTCTTGTAGTCGTAGAGAGTGGGACATCTGGGTGCAGGGGAGGCAAACTTACAAACCAAACCACGACGTCACCACGCCATGTTTTGATTGGGCCCGATTCCAGTGTCTTTCGATCTTTTTTGGTCCGACTCTCGTTTTCCTCTCACCGAAGGAATCAGCCACATGGAAGGAGTGGAAGCGGCACGGCTCAATGAGCTGAGGATTCTTCCCCAAAGCCTTCGGAGTCTCAGCTTCTGCGATCATCTCAACCAGTGTCAAATGGAGCACGTCCAATGGCCGAGTGGCTTACAACGTCTGGTGTTGGGTGACGGCTTCAACAAACGCTTGGATCACGTGGCTTGGCCCAGTAGCCTTTGCAGTCTGACCTTGAGCGCTTCCTTCAACCAGACTGTGGAGGGAGTCAGGTGGCTCGACAACTTGCGAACTTTGACTTTCGGCATTGCACTCTTGGGACTTCCTGAGAGTATGTTTGCTTCAGTGCTTATTTTACCTCCTTGCAAGGTTCTGTCGCAACCTTGTGCCCTGGCCAGCCACGGGTTAACTTGCCCATGGCTTGCTGAGTAGTGATCTTTTAGAGCAAGCTCTGGCACGCTGTTGTTCGAGCGAACTTGTGATGCCAAGTTTTGTGCCCGCAGTGTTCGGCCTGAACGTGCTAAGGGGTCGCCTCCCTCCTCTAAAGCATGGGCTACCTCTTCGGGTTTTCACAATGATTCTATTGCTGTTCGTAGATGTAAGAGACTCCACCGTGCAGCTGTGGAGCAGGCTAAGTTAGATTCCGAAGGGCCTCTAACGCAGAGTCAACTCAAGCATTGGCTTGCTGCTGTTAACGACAAGGTAGTTGCTTCTATCATTTTTGAAATTCCTCGTTCTCAGAGTGATGCCATCGCCACTGCATCAAAAGCCATAAAGTTCCTTTGTGATTCGGATGAGCAGAGCAAAAATGCGTCTTGGAAACAACTTTTCCGCCAGTGGAATCACGTGACTGTCAAAGCTGCAAAAGAAGTTTTGAAGCCTGATTTGAACCCTCCTCCTGTCTCTGCCCAGGAGCTGTTGGATGATTGGAAGGCTTCTTTTGCACCTCCCCAGGACATGGATCGCGGGGATGCTTGGCTCAACGCTGCTCGTGAGGCACAACTCCAGGCTTGCACTCCCGTCGAAGATTTTGTAACTTGGGAAGATTTCTTAGATGCTGCGGAAAATGCCAAAGGTTCCCCGGGTCTGGATGGCTGGACTAGTGCTGAGTTTCGTTTTTTGGCACGGTCGTGTCCTTGGCTCCTTCGCAAGCTTTTCGACATTTTAAGATGCGTCGTCCTTAAATCCGATTCTATCGATCCTAATCAGTGTCCTACTGTTTTTCTTTTGTTCAGTTGGAAACTTGTAGGAATCCCAAAGCGAGCTTCTGATGAATCTCGGCCTATTGCTGTCAGTTCCATCATTTTGCGTTGTTGGAATAAAGCAGTTTTAAAAGTATTGCCTCCATTGCCTGCAGACCAGTGGGCTGGCCGCAAGGAGACCAGCGTTGCTCATGCTACTGCTGATTGGCTTGCTCACCCTGGCCAATGTGGTGCAGAGATTGATTTGCAGAAAGCTTTTGATTCAGTGAATTGGGGTGCCGCTAAGGCTGCTTTATCTTTCGGTGGAACCCCTAAATGCATCGTCAATTTTCTGCAATTAGCGTGGAAAAGCCCTAGATTCGTGAATGTTTTGGGTTCATTCTGTTTGAAGCCCCTTATTCCCACTAGGTCAATTCCTCAAGGGGATCCCACGTCTCCAACTGTGCTTGCCCAGATTCTTCGACCTTGGCATGCGATCATTCACCTCAAGCACCCCATGGTTAGAACGTGGGCATATTGTGATGACAGGTCGCTGCGGTGCTCCGGTACTTTGGAAGACCTGAATGAGGCTCTCGCTTCAACTCGTCGTTTTGATGATGTTGTTGGTTTCTCTGAAAATATGAAGAAACGACAAATTTGGGCAAATAATGATGCCGTTGAACACCTTGGTCTCTCGGTGTGCCCCGCCTCGCAAGATTTGCCCACTTTGCGCAATGGGTGGGATGCCATTGCCGATAATTTTCCTTTTCTTGCGAAGATTCCTGGTGGCGTCATGCCCCGCGAGAATGCCGTCCGTGTTTTCTTCAAAAGCAAATGGACCTGGCCGGTGCCTCTCATTGCACCCCCACCTGTTTCGTTTGTGAGTAAGCTTTTTCACCAACTTTTGAATCACACAAAGTGCTCTTGGTGGTGTAGTGGCAGGTTTTGGGCTGATAGAATTGACATTCATCCAATCTTTGGCTTGGCCTGTGCAGCTGTGTTGTCTGCGCACCGCTTTCATAATCCACCTCCAAACGCTGTTTTCCGTGCAGTTAAGTTTTACCTTGAACTCTTGGATTTGCATCTTGTGTCTTGGGATAATAGGGGCCTGTACTTTTCAGTTAACCCTCAAAATCAAAATTTGAGCCGTTTCGTTAGTGCGTATGGTGAATCCATCAAACTCATGCCAGAAGGTGTTCCACCTCATGTCCTTCGGGTTGCTGCTAGACACAAAAGCCTTTTGCAGATCCGGCCTTCTCGATTGGACTCTGAAGATTTCAGTAACATAGATGTTGAGGCTTCGTCCCACCCTCTATGGTCAACGTGGCGAGCAAAGCTTTCTCGCAAAAACCTCATTGTTCTTAATATTTATCGGGGTGGTGCGATCCAGACCCCTACAAGAGGAGGGTATAGCCATGATCCTTCTTGCCCTTTCTGCAATGCGCAGCTCGCCTCCATGCGGCATTTTTGGGCATTGTGCCCCAAGTTCAGAGCAAAGCGAGATTTTCTTGAGGGTTTTTTTCAAATCCCTTCTGGTTGGTGGGCACTTCAGCCTCGCGTCACCTCCAAAAGTGGTTGGGTTGTGCTTTCTGCAGCCGTTTCGGCTGTGCAAAGAGCCAAATGCCAGATTGCTGCTTGTGAGCTTGCTTTCGAAATCAACGATGCTTTGCATCCCATTTCTTCTTCTCCTTAGGTTCTTTTCCGGGTTCCGCCTGGATTGTTTTCATTTGCCCTCGGGCGCTTGCATTTTGTGACAAGGTTTTCTTTCCTTGCCTTTATCCGTGCAAAGCCCGGTACTAACCGGGGTGCGTCTAACTACCTACGGGCTTAGGTTGGCGCATGCATTGTTTTTTTTGACTTTCGGCAATATGTTCAACCAAAGTTTGGAGGGAGTTTCGTGGCCCAGAGAGCTCCAGAACTTCACCTTCGGCCACTATTTTAATCAAAGCTTGGCACGGGTCTCCTGGCCTAATGGCCTCCAAACTTTGAACTTCGGAATGGACTTCAACCAGCGTTTGGAAGAAGTGCGTTGGCCCAGCAGCCTGCGATCTCTCAAACTGGGTGATTGCTTCAACCAGAGCTTGCTGGGAGTGGCTTGGCCCAGCAGTTTACGCCAAATCACGTTTGGTTTGCAGTTCAATCAAAGCTTGGAAGGGGTCACTTGGCCTGAGAGCTTCCAACATTTGATGCTGGGCGACTTTTTCAACCAACCTTTGAAGGGAATCGCTTGGCCTAACCTTGAAGTCTTAGCCTTTGGCAGTTCTTTCAACCAACCTTTGGAGGGACTTCCGGCCAGCCTGGTGACCTTGAGCCTCAGCCGGACACTCGGAGATGCAAAAAAGAAAGTGTGTGGGGATCGCGTCCCTCTTGGAATCCAGAGGGGATGGATGGGACTGAGTGAGGATTGTTCCAAGCTTTTTCACCTAAGAGAACTCCTTGTGCCTAATTCTCTTGACCCGTTTTCTTGAAAGAACCTTATACCCCTTTTCGATGCGAAAGGATAATGTACTAGTACCTGTTTGATCTAACTGCATGCTCATGGGGGCTCATACATTGCATGAAATGTGATGTTCGATCAGGAATTTCGATCAGCCCTTCGGTGGGCCCAGCAGATGGCCCAGCAATCTGCAGAGAGTTTCCTTCGGTGATCGTTTCAACTGCAGCTTGGAGCACGTGACCTGGCCATGCCACCTGCGCAGTGTGAGATTTGGCCGAAACTTCAACCAGAGGCTGCAAACAACCTGGCCCAACTGCCTGGAGAGCTTGAGGTTAGGAGAGTTCTTTGACCAGAGCTTGGAGGGAGCGACGTTTCCCGGCAGCCTGCAGTCTTTGACACTGGGCAGTCGGTTTAACCAGAGTTTGGATAACGTCACTTTTCCAAGCAGCTTACAGACACTGGAGCTTGGTGATGGCTTCAATCAAAGTCTGGAGCAATTTGACTTTCCTTGCAACCTTCAACAATTGACGTTTGGAGACAGATTCAATCAAGAGCTGGAGGGAGTCACTTTTCCACCTAGCCTTCAAAGTGTGACCTTTGGAGCCGAATTCGATCAACTGATCCAGGGGGTGACTTGGCCCGTGGATCTACAAAGCTTGACGTATGGGGAGGGATTCATGCAGAGTTTAGATGGCGTCACCTGGCCCAACAACTTGTTACATCTCAAGCTTGGCGACCGCTTTAATCAGCCTTTGGAGGGCGTCGCTTTGCCACGCAAGCTCCAAAGCTTGACCCTTGGAGCCCAGTTTCAGGGGAGTGTGGAGGGGGTGACTTGGCCGGACCACCTTCAAAACTTGACTTTCCGAGGCCCGATAGGCCATCAGAATTTGGAGCGTGTGACTTGGCCTTGCAACCTCCTGAGCTTGACGTTGGATGTTGGTCGCGACAAACCCTTGTTAGGAGCCATCTTGCCGAACACTCTCCAGAGCCTGACGCTGACTTCACACGATTTCGTACAGATCCAACGTACGAATCCGTATTTGATAGATCGCTTCCGCACGAATCTGGCAGCGGTAGCCCTGCCAAGGGGGCTGCGCCACTTTAAATGCCTTGGGCTGGTCCTAAAAGCCCTCGAAGATGATACAAATGAGGTTTGAAGCAAACAGGTCACCCTTGGAGAACTGGGAGGGGCGGGTTTGGGACACCCGCTATGACTGTTGATCCGGTCCAGTGGTCGATCAGGTCGGGGGTCCGACCGACCCAAACCGCGACAGGTTCTCGAACTCGAGGATGACCTGTCCCAGGCCATCCATGGGACTGGAGTAGTAACATGCACTGCACAAAAAGTATCAACCATCTTACGAACATGACCCCAACTGATCGGCCAAAACATTCCAGTCCCGATGGTTTCGGTGGAATTTTCCTGGACGTTTTTTTTGTTTTGCCATTTCACTCCTGAGTCACTCTCTTTTTTGTTGCAACATTTGTGTGCTTTTTGTTTCCTTTTTTGCCATTTGGAGTTGCTCACCCAGCGCCTGGCCGCCCTGGCCTCACTCGTCCGCACCGGGCAGCCCGTTGCCAGCGCATCGGATCATGAAGTCCTGTTTTTTTGCCACGCCTGAAACCGGACGACCGAAACAGAAGGGCCTCTCATGTTCTTGATTTTTGAGCCGCTCACTGGAGATGTTCGTTAATTGATCTCGAACAGGTTTTTTTCGAGTGGACATCAAATCCGTAAGTGAACGGATGTGAGGGGCGGGGCCTTCCCGACGTCCTCCGTTCGCTCGGCCCTTCGCACGGAAACTGATCGGACGTGAACAACATGGATGGGTCATTCCAGTTAACAACAAGCCAAAGGATGTGTCTTTGTTTTGTCGTGAGGCTATGCGAGCTTCGGCAGGGTTGCCCGGGGTGCAGGTCTTTGTCGGCTAATGCGAGCATCGGCTGAAATGGTCTTCTCTATAGGGTCTTAGAAGTTTGACTGGTGCTTTGTTGGGGCCTCATCCATTGTCAATCTAATAGATGGGCCGGACTAATCCCACCTAATCCCTTGTGGGTTGACCTATCGTTGGTAGGTCAACCGGTCGTTCTTTTTTTGGTGCCATGACTGCTCATGCCATACATTGGATCCTCCAACGGGTCACCTGGCGGACGACTACGTACCCTCCCTCCACTACGACCTCCAAACAGAACACCCATTGGACGATCCTGGCTTTTAGGAAATCTCATACCCACTACTGATGTGTCCGGTTGAAGCAGCAGGCGTATGGAACATCTGATGCAAAAGGGTAATCTTCTCGGATTGTTACATGGGATGTTTGTGCTCTACTTGATCAAGATGATCTGATGTCAATTTTATATAACTTCGTTGTTCGGGTGGCCTAGAAGGGCTGACTCAAATAAGATAGACTTGAGACGTACCATTAATTAGACCATTTATGTATACTCTGCACCGACAGTAGAGGGACGACCAAATGCCAAAGTTTGCTAGATCACGAGTTTGTGCTACTCTTGCAGACCCTTTCTGGTACCATAGATGGGTAACATGTTCAGACTCTTGTTATACCCTAGAGCAGTCCCAAGACCCCTTTCATCGCCCAAAAGCGGGGCATGCGATTCATGCTTCCTCAACGAGAACTGTGTCAAGATGTGGGGCGTGGGCCACATGGGGTGCACAGAAAGTTCTATTGCTCAGACCTACATCTAGCGACCCTCTTTTTCTCAACTCTCGGTGCGCGCGCAAGTCTATAGAGCTTTGTAAGGAGGTTCCGTTAGGGTTCCAACTACATGCTCGGAGGCTGAGGGAAAGGCCCAGCTTCTCATTCGTTACAGGGGTCAGCCGGTCAGTCGGTCAGTCTATTCGGACCAACTGCTTGGGAAAGATGATTCATTGCCTGTCTGTCCCTTTGGACGTACACTTCTGGAACAACTCATTTCTCAATACGTTATTTGGAGAGGTGTGGTATTTCATACGTACACATACACAAGGAAGCAAGGACGAGGTTTGGAGGGGTCAAGTAGGTCGACCTCTTCTGGAAGTGCTAGCTAGTCTATTTCCAGCTTCCTCCATCATTCCTAGATTCAAACCTGCGTTCTTTCTCCTATCTCGTGCTCGGAATCAAGTCTCCCTACATTGTGTGGTTCATCTGCATTGGGGAGGCGGGGTGCTTCGCGCCTTTCAGAATGCTGCCAGGCTACTTCTCCTGGACTTATTACAACTCCAGGAGAGTTGGTTCGTCCAGAACGGCGGTGATGTGGGCGGTCCGGTGTGGGGCACAGAGCTTGGTTGATCTTCCGGATAGACTCGGGCGGAGGTTCGTTGTCGAAATCACGGACAGGAACGAAATCAATGGTAATATATCATTGCATTCGTGTATGGAATAGTAACATATATACATTATCAATGGAGTACATGTATGCATTAACTATATTCCAGATATCCCATGGTCTGGTCTGCGGTCGTTTTTCATTTGCTTGTTCCTCCTCCATGACCGCTTCCACTGGGTGAAGTCGATAGTCGATCAGAAGTTCCATCGCCCACGAGTCACATGGAGCTGGGGGTGGTTTGCTTCGTCCCATCGCCGGTGGATGTGATGTCACAGGCGCACCGGGGCACCGTCGTCCTCCGTCCTCACTACCCGGCAGTGCCCGAAAACTCGTGACGTGAACTCGTGACTCTTGGAACTACTGACAAACATACGGCCAATTATGATGTTATGTTGAAACTGGTCCTATTCTTCCCAAATAAGACCTCATGGATCCTCATGGTCTCCTGCTCCTGGTGGTGTCTTGGCCTTCATGAGAAGTCGTTGCCAGCACCTGGAGGTGCCCACTTCCAGAAGTGGCGCTCAACCACTTGATCATTTTCATTCATTTTCCCAACTCATTTCAGACTCCATCATATTTCACATTTCTTTTGAGGTCAGTCAGCAGCCACCTGGCCGACCTGGCTTACTGTAGTCCTTGTATGGTGCTTTTTGGGCATGTTTTCAAGCCACCTGGCCGAGCAGCGGTCGACCGCGGGGGGGGGGGGGGGCGTGCCGAACCGCCTCGCCGCCTGCTCCGGCTCGAACCCGTTCACCAGCGTTCAACGGCGGACGGTCCGTGCGGCACCGCGCGCGCGGCCTTTGGGACGCCCAGGCGCGAGGCGTTCGAGGTGGGACGGCACGTGGGGACGGTGTGACACGACGAAGACGCAAAGATCGTGACGTTGCTTCCAAACATGTGTTTTTTCTTAGACACGGTGGTATCGGGTATGAAGGGGGTGAAGAAAGATGATGATTTTGAGAACGGTTCGGCGACTAGAGTCAATCGGTAGTGAAGATGATGACCGTTGTTCATCCCTCAGAACCAGATTTATCAAAGCCTTCCCAACAGGGATCTTTAAGGAGTTATTTTTCTCATCGGGAAGCAATTCTCTTTTTGTTGCTCGAAGAAGAGAAGGTATGTCTGGGTGGTTGGCCCAAGCACCAAAAGGTCCAAACAGTTACTGCCTCGGTGTGTGTTCATTCGCTGCGTTGGTGGCATGCTGCGCGGTCCAGTTGGTGGGGGGTCCTCTCAGGTCCTCCTCCACTTGGTGGGTCCTATCCCCAGACCTCACCCGTACCTCCGTTTGGGGATTGTACCTGTTGTATGCACTTCCATGGTTGCTTTGAAGGTTCACATGTCAGTTGGTCGAATGCCAGCTGCCCTTTACGGCACGAGATCCCACGCAGGAAAAAGTAGGGTCCGTGCGCCATCAGTGACGCTTAGCGGAGGTGCTTTGTGGAGAGAGAGAGAGGGTTCGAGCTTTTTCGCTTTGTTCCTGGTCCGGAGAAGATCAGGTTATGAGCCCAAAGCGGGCCTAGCATCCGCCGATGATGCAGCATCGAAGGCGGCAAGCGACCGCCGAAGAGCTGGCACAAGGTCAGAGGGAGATGAAGGCCGCCGAGGCCAGAATGAAGAAAGAAGAGAAGAAGAGGGGTGAGCTCCCTCTGGAGGACGGGGTGGCCGAAGGGTCACAGGGTGGAAAAGGACCACCAGGTGGGGATGCGACGTCCACCGACCTGGTCTCGACAAGGTCACCCACTCTCACAGTCCCGTCAACTGAGGATAGCCACTCTAAGGTCTCAGCCGCGACTTCATCGACCCCGAGGCCAAAGACTGAAGCTCCGAGTCCAGGAAAGCCAAAGAAAGAAGAAGAAGCTCACATGAGGACCCCGCAGGTGTTGGGTCCGAAAGCCATCCAGGACCAGCAGGGTGAAGATGGAAAGGGAAGTGTGAAGGGAGGTGGTGTTGGTGGGATCCCCGAAGAAAGTGAAGTCCCTGAACAGCACTCCATTTGCACACCACCGTTGTTCACGCCTGCCCAGCTTGATGATTTGCACCGAGTTCAACAACAGGCACCATGGCTTTATGCCAAAGTCGGTACACCAATGTACGACACACCAATGCACTCCATCCTCGACAGACCAGCCTTCCTCGAGCAAGAAGTGTAGAAAGGAAAGGGTGGAAGAAGGGATGATGAAGAAAAAGAAAACCTGATGTTGCGGGTCCATGAACGAATGGAGTTCGAGCGTCAGGAGAAGGAAGAAATGATGATCCAGATGCAGCAGCTCCTCAGCGAGAACAATGCTTTGCGAGCTGAGATGCAAGCAAAACCAAAAGGACCAATGGGCGGTCCGACCATGGCCGATCGACGAATCAGCCACCTTCTGGAGGAGAATCAAAGACTCCACCAGGAAGTCAGAAGGCTGTCATGGGTTCAGCCGACCTCGAAAGAAGATGATCCTGTTTTTGCAACGCCAAATGGCAGCTCCGGATGCGATGAACATGCTGGAGGCCGCGGAAGAACAAAGACAGGAGTGGAAGAAGTGCCAGAAGATCGACCTCGTGAAGGTGATGGCAAAGGCAAGGAAGCAGGCCGGGAGGCCACGGGAAAAGGAAGGGGAACGAAAAAGAAAGAAAGTTTCCTAGAAGATGATTCAGTGCATCAGCAGACCCTCAATGTGATCTTGAAGGTTGTTGAGGGCATGCAAAAGATCCAAGATCGAATGTCGCAAGGTGGCTCTACAGGTCAAGACCAAGACCCGGAGACAGTGCGACACAGTGTTGACCTGCCGAAGTTGGCAGAATGGAATAGCGAGTCAGCCCCGATTGACTTCTCGGACTGGCTTTT